ATATATATATATATATATATTCAAGTGTTGTCAGATATATTTGATTAAGTAAACTCCTTTTTTGTTTTTTTTTTTAGGAAGTGTTTGAAAAAGTCAGTAGCGCGGTTTTGCTTTCGTTCTTTCGGTATGCGGGTATATGCTAGAAACTTTTAGCATTGTCTTGAAATGTTTTTTAACTTCTCGGTAGTTATGTTTATATCAATACGTTTATGGATTAAACAAGTTTATATTCTATGAAAATTTTATTCTTGGTTTTTTTCCTTTTTTTTTTTTTAATAATTCGGGACTTGGGTTTGTAGTTTTGTTTTAATTTGTGTGTGTATATGTCGGTGTGTATGTATGTATATGGGGAAAGCGGGGACATTCTTTTATTTTATTTATTTATTTGTTCTTTTTTTTTTTGTTATTTTTTGTTCAATTTTTTTCTTATTTTTTTTTTTTTTATTTTTTGTATATTTTTTTTGTTGTTTTTTTTTTTTTTTTTTTTGTAAGTTTTTAGTTTTAAAGTCACTAACGTATAAGCAAAAAATTTTGCGCTTTTTCCGTTAATTTGCGATACAATCCCACGACTCTCCGTCACATTCCAGCGTTATGAGATTGATTTTGACTCCCCGATGGTTTACTTTCAACCGCTGTTGTCATATTGTCATCACCTCTTTCACCGGCAGTTTCATCACCTTCTTCTAATTCTGCCAAGTTTTCTTGATCTGACTCTTCTAGAGTTACCTTCAATAAAAATTATTTATAAATTTTAACACAATTTGCAATTCGGGAAATTTCTGTATGTATAGCATTCATTGTATAGCGTTGCCTGATTTCATCTGATAATGAAATAATTTGCATTGTTTATATATTTGTTTTGACGGGATTTTTTTTATTTATTTTTTTTTCAAAAATTATCTGCGGCCACAGTTAATAGTGGGCCTTTGACTTTCACATTCCTTCTTCGAGTTTTCCCTTCACACTTGCATTCTTTCTTCCCAAATATAAGCATTATCAACGAAATCAATGTATCGCTAATCGAAGATTTCTAATGCAATCATTCCACACGCAACCTCTTACTTTAATGTTAATAAAAATTCGCTTATAATTCGCTTATGTCTTTCTCGAAAAAGACGATGAAACTTATCAAGAGAATTATTATACAGTTCTTTTTAGTCTGTGAGCTTTCCTATCGTATACCTTTTTATGATATAAGGGTATATTAACTTTGTGCGGATGTATGTTGCATGCAGATGGGCTGGAGACACAGACATCTTTTATTATGCCGATCGATTCTCAGTAACTTTCTGAATCGATTTAAGTTCGTTCGTCCTTCCGTCCGTTCACCGATTTTTTTTTTTTTATTTTCAACTTGCAGGTCTGAGTTTTGACATACTTTGATAAAAATTGGCCCAAGACCAAACGCTATTGAAAATAGTTCTGATCGGACCACTAACATAGGGCCTCATTGTGAAAAGTGGTTATATTAATAACTGCAGGATGGTGTAATGTATTGAATGGTGGACCGTGGCCCACTATAGTTTTTCACTTGTTTTTTTTTTCTTTTTAGTTGGTTTTTTTTTTTTTTTTTTTTTTTTTTAAAATAATAAATAATAAAAAAAAAAAATTTTTTTTATTTTTTTTTTTTTTTTTTTTTCATTCAATTTTATTATTTTCTATTTTACTCACTTGAAAACGTATTTTATCGTCTGTTCCCGTTGTTTGCTCTTCTGTGGCTGATGGTGGTGGTGATGGCGGTATCATACTTTGATAATAGTCTCTATTCTCTTCAAGCGTATCTAAAATATCTTGGGCATCTGGATGTACCAAATCGGCCCAAGTTTCCCATAGCGGATGCACAATATAATCGATAAAGCCGACCTGCGATTTTTCGATTGTGGCATTATGACGATCACACATGGGACTAATATCCATGCCCGATTCACGTTCTTTATCACCTTGCAAAAAGAATTCCTCCATTAAGAGACCGACCCAGCGTTTATAGAGGGACAAGGGTTTCGTCGGATTACTTAAATCGGCACAGTGGACTAGATTCTCAAGAACCTATTTCAAAAATGATATTACAAAATTGAAATTTTACAAATAGCAATATTAAGTAAATACCTGTATGCGATCTGTATAATTGTCCAGCAATAATACACCAGAACCGGCTACCTTCTTAGTTTCTACCATAGTTTTCAAATCGGCTAAAAGACTCATGTGTTTGGACATATCAGTTGATAATACAATATCAATAACCATTTTTCTTAATGTTTGACGTTGTTTCCTGGAAAGTGTAAAATGTATTTTATCAAAAGGCAAATAACAAAGTTTTTTAAAGAACGATGTACTGGCCCCGGCCAATCTGAGGATATGAAATTAATTTTTTATTTTTTTTATTTTTAAATTCATCAAATTATTTTTTATCTATATAGGATATTCTCTTGCATATACTCATCGCAAGATTTGTATTAGATGCGTCAAATGTTTGCAACAAATAAAAGTATATATTGGAAGTTTCATATATAAGTCTATATAATATATTTATTCTTGATCAAGAATCTAAAAGCATTTGGAGGGAGATATTTACAACCATATAACATCATCGAGGCTTACGATCTCGAAAAGGAAAAACTGATTGTATTCTTAGCTTTGCAATCAAATATCATAAATAAATTCAAGTTTCTTAGAGGTTTGTTTTATTACTATCATTATTAATATTATTATTATTATTATTATTCTTATTATTATTATTATTATTTTCTTTTCTTTATTCATTTATTATAGACTACAAGTCCGTAGGGCCCAATTAATCTAAACAACATCCAGAGTTTATATTAAATTTCATTGTCAAATTGCTTTCTTTTTTGCCATCTAAACGAATTACGAATCAATAACGAACGGTACGAAAAAATAATCGGACCATTGCAAAATATGCCTTCGTCACGTCACCCTACAACTCAACAACAAGACAAGTAAAGGCGGTTGAAAGTGATTTTTCGCAAGAACACTGACTTTGACAGTTTAGTGGTCAATATACTGCAGTTGACTGAAAAACGAAAGCATTCACAACGTTTGCAACATATGTTTTGAAGAGGTCAGCGTTCCAGGTTATGTCCTGTTTAAAACATAAGCGATCAAATTTGCTTCTAGCTTATGTTATGGTTTGACGATAACTAACAATGTTGCGGAAATTTTCATTCTTTTGATTAGGAGCAGAAAACTTAGCGGCGTAGTCTCAGCAATGACTTTTCTTCCTGTAAAGTAATACATAACAGTTATCCCGTGGGTTAGGAATTGCGTGAAAGATGGTTTTATCGGATAAAAGTTCCGTTACATGTTTTCCGTAAAGTCAAAAAAAAAAGAAAAAAAAAGGAAAAAACCAAACGGAAACAAAGCAGACATCGAATAGATGCTCTCCATAAGAAATATATATTAATGTTTCGAAATTTTGGATTTTGTTATATTATTTCTACCAAGTCTTGTTACTCTTATTTTGTAAGCGTGTGTGTATCGTTTACTCCATTGGTGCTATGGTGTGTTTTGCGACGGGTCTTTATTTACGTTTACGCTATGTTCTATTTCACTACATACGTGTATGTGTTTGTTGACAATTTCATATACGCATTATAGTGTAACTTCAGAAATATATCAAATTGTTGCTTTTTTTTTTACATTTTACATACATTTATATGAGTTTGTTGCGTTCGAGTTTTGTTCTGCCGTAGTTCTCTTTTCATTTTCATTTTCATTTGTGCTTTTTAGTTGCGATTGGTTCTGATTATTTTCAACTAAGTGCAACACCAGGAAGAAAACTTCAGAGACCCCATAAAATACATACATATCTTTGAACAGCATTAAGCATGTCTCTCTGTCTGCGCAATATCTCCGGTTAACATTTACTTGGCCAGCAAAATATAGCAACCGATTCCAAATTTGATTGATATATTAAAAGATCTTGCATGACATTGGGCGAAAATGGACAAAGGATAAGCCCGCCGTACTACGTAATTTGAGACTAAGTCAGTTTTCAAAAATAAAAAAATTTTGGCATTTCGCCTGTTTCTTATAAATCATATTGGTTACAAGGATGAATATGTGCATGAATACTCTATGGGTGATATTGCAGCAAATGTATAAAAATGGCAAAAATCGGTCATTTCCACTCAACATTTGCAGCACGCAGAAAAAACCTTCAGAGGCTCAGTTTTAGAAATTTTTGTCAGTCCGTCTGTCCATTTGTCTGTTAATGAGTAAGATAAACGTATCCAAGATTTGCTTCAGACACACGGTATAAATTTCCGTTTTGACTCTATAAAATTAGGAAATATCCCCCATGTCCATGCAATGTTAGGCAGTATATAAAATTTTGTTTTTTTGCTTTTTTTTTTAGTTTTTTTCGGGTAATGGATGCAAATAGAAAAATTTTTCTTTTTGTTGGAATAATTGAAAGAAAAAAATAAGCAGAAACACTATAATGGACCACGGTCCACTTAAAGCTATTCATCTAACGACTTTTCGTAATAGGGCGTAATTCGGGGAAACGGTCGAAAAAATAGTCCGATCCAACAAATTTGCAATAGTGTTTGTTCTTGGATCAAAACACGTCAGTTTGCCAAATTTCATCAAAATATCTTTAAAATTGCATCCTGTAGATTGGGCAAAAGAAAACAAGACGGACAGACAAATTTAAAACGATTCAGAAATTGACTTTGAATGTCTATAGACAACAACACAAATTGATATGCGCAGACATCAGACGGACAAACAGACTTAGATCGATTCAGAATTATTTTGTGATCGGCAAAACAAAAATTGGATCTATGTTACGTTCTTCGAGGTGTTGCGTATATCCAAATATACCTTTGTACCAGAGCCGGTATTGTGTATAATAATAATGTACTCTATTTTCTAAACGACGAACAATATTCCTAGTTAAGGATAACATGCTTTAATTATATAATAAAACTTTCGTCCTTTAAGAAGAAGGCGTTGATATAAAATTTTACTAACAATTGATTTTTAAGGAGAGATATACGGTTTGCTCTAACTGCACCGCCAATAGTTTAGCTGTATGGCAAATAGTTGATTGATTTAGAAGAAGAACATTAACGCTATGAGTGAATGAGCGAAAGTTAGTAATAAGCATTTGCCCAATTATGTAATTGATTGAAATGAAGAGCCATCGCAATATAATCAGCGAGCGATTATTGACTTACTTTTGCATATTACAAAATATATCACATCCTTGATTTTGTAATAGTTTAAAGGCAACCGCTAAATGATGATTTTCCAATACAGATTCGTCATTATACATTAAGGCTAATTCGGAACCTTTGGAGAGAGAGTAAATGAAAATTTAATAAAACATAATTTTTTTTTTTTTTTTTTTTTTTTTTTTTTTTTTTTTTTTGCGAAGATATATGTGAACAATACTTACTTGAATTAACTAAAAATTGATTAGTTAAACCAGGATGATCAACATCGTGTATACAGGCTGCAAATAAAGCACCGCCCACTTCCAGCGGTGTAAAGACACCTTCTAAAGCGGGAGTATTTAACAGCACATTTGTGCTTTGTGTCACATCGGCCGCATGCAATGAATTATGAAACGGATTGTCTTTAACATAATGGTCCTCCAGAGTAGTCATAAAATTAAGAAAATTTTTCGGTGGTATCATAAGACTGGTCAGTAATTCTCTACTCTGCAAATTGAAAGACAAAGACAAAATAAATATATTTTTATTTATTTGATTATTTTTTTTGCGATTTTTTTTAAGGTGAATAAAAGATACGATAACGAACCTGAAATATTGTATAGGCTACACAGGTGAGTGGGCGATTTTTACTTAAATCGCCAATTTTAAAGATATCAATACCCCATGTATCCAATTCGGCCAAATGTTGACCCAACGCGGCTTCGTGTGGCGTTTCAACGCCATAGGTGGGCAAACGTTCACCAGTGAATGAGTTTGTGTGCGATAATGGTCTTTTAACGCCAGATATTTGAGACATGGGAGGGCCACGCGGCGAACGACTACGTTGCTGAGGTATTGGCATTGCGCTATGTTCAACATTCTCTTCGACTCGCATTGACGGCAAATCGAATTCTTGTTGTTTATCTAAGAGAAGTATGAAGAAGAAGAAGAAGAAGAATAATAAGAAGAAAAATGAATAAAAATGAATAAAATAATATATTTAAAAGTATATTCCTTAGATTGTTAGACTTCTATGACATATTGCTTAGGTTGTTTAGGAAACATTAAACAGCAGTGACAAAAAGAAGAAAATCAACTAACTTTTTGTATAATCAAGCTCGATCCGAATTAATCGTCGAAGGCATAACAGCATATGGAGCCAATTTTCAATTAATTAGCATTAGTATTAGTATTATGTCGTTTCAGAGACTTTATGTGGCCCAAAAAACCTAAATCGACAAAGCCGTGAATGATGTAGATTAGGCGAACTATTAATACCGATAGTGAAGCAAATTTTTCGTGATGTCACAGCTTAACTATGGCATTAAAATTTGATGTTGTAACCAAATAAAACTATCGCCAGGGAACGCGAACTATAATAAGTCGTACATCATTTGATCATTAAATAAGAATTGGCTACGATATGCTAAAAAAAAAAAAAAAAAAACTAATACAGTGTCACCGCTCGATTATAACTTTTGAAGACAATGAATTAGTATACGCTAGACATGTCGTTATACCGTATTCTACAGATATCGTTCCTTCAGATTCATATCTATTTCATATGATGATTTATGGCCGTACTATGAAATTAGTCGAAAAATGGCTTCAGATATTGATCTTGATCGCAACTTTTCGACAACAAATTGACGAACCATATTTTGTACCGTGTAACTTAAATAAATTTGCAAATTTTATCAAAAAATCACGCGACATGTGTTCATATTAAAAGTAAATAAATGTATTTATATAAAATATCTCGTATACCGCCAGAGCTTATACTTATAAAATATAAAATTTTTATCCCTTGAGGTATGCTTTTATATCCTTTTCAATTACATTTTTTTTATTCACATTTTTTTTTTTTTCTTTGTTTGTTTACTTTCTTCCTTTATATTCTCACTTTTGCTACAAATTTTTTCTTCATTTGCCTGTTGGCTAATCTATCCACCTATCTGTTTGCCAGCCTGCTGGAATCCCAGTTACGATCTTAACATTTCTTTTACAATTAATTTTAATATTTTTAACTGCATAATAAGTTATATCCAACACAGGCAAATAGTAGAAGCAAAAAGAATATATCACATATGTGCATATGGACTGTGTGTGCACCGAGTTTTTTTTTCACTAAAAGTGACTTTCGGTAAAACTTGATTTTCGATACATGTTGCGCAAATTATGTCTTCTCCTCACATAGCTGAAACGTCAAATACTTTCAATTGATGGCGAAATTGATGGATGGTTTATGGCATTTCGAACGCGACGGATTACACAGTGCTTGGAAGACATTTCGATAATTCGCAAACGAAAATTGATTGCGCTCCTGTAAAAAATTTTCTGTTAGCTGCGTGTATATAATGAATCAAGTACGCATATCCATGGGAAAAAAGTAGATAAGATTTAGTTTTATTCGTTTTTCTTGAAATTCGAATGAAAGCAAAAATTGAGATGAAAAAATTTGAAAGTAGATCCATTTTACCTATCCCGCAGCCATGTTTACATTGGCTAATTATGTAAACTTTGTTGTTGGTCAAAGTTACGAGAAAATGAAATGCGAAAAAATACTTCCGTCACATCTGCTGTTTAAAAAGAAAAATGCTTTTTTTCTGCAATTATGTTACTTAAGCTGACAGGTATTAAAGATTCACTTAAAGACAAGTATCATTTTATAATAATAATTTTTTTTTTTTTTTTTTTTTTTTTTTTTTTTAAAAAATTATTAAATCAAGCGCTTGAGGTTTTTATATCATCATAGCCTTCTTTTATTTATTTATTTATTTATTTATTTTTTTTTTATATATATATATATATAATTTTCCTGTGGGTTTCTTTATTGCATTTTTGCAGTATTCAGCGTGATTTTCTCTTCATTTGATTTTATGCGTAGTAACTACTGTTGGTACATAATCTAATTTTAAACTTTCATTTTTTTCTTCTTCTTCTACTTCATTTACATATCAGATGCATTGGACGAGTGCTTCACATCTCAATTTTTTATAACAAGAATATAATCATTCTTCTTAACTTAACTTTAGTTAAAGCATTGATGTCATGAATATATTAAATTGTAATAAGAAAATGCATAATAATATGATTTAAATATGTAGTGAGAAGGAAGTAAGAGCATTATAGTCGATCAGTAAAATACCCTAAATCTCATTCTCTAACATAATTCTTATTTTTATATATTCTTTCTATATAAAGGCAAATTGTTCATCATGTGCGTATTTATGCGGAACCGAATCCAAAACGACAAGTAATGTAGTACCAGTTTAATCCTTTTATACAAGTATGAAATTACTTGACTCATCATGAACCATTTTCATCATCTCATATTAAAACTTAGACTTCTCTGCTCTAAAAAGGTTTAATTTTCGTGAAAATCCCTATGAGGATAGGATCCAAAATATAGGCCGATATGTTTCAAATTTTGTACAGTTTATTATGATATAATTTTCATCATGAAGCATTGAAATTATAGCTTTTTGTCGTATGAACTTGAGTTTTCATTACATGAGAGGGAGTTCAAAAAATGACGTAGACGGTCCAAAGTTTTTGTACCAAATTAAGAATGCCGATAGGCTACTACTCAGTTACTTTTGCCGAGAAATTTTGAAAATAACAATTTTTTTTTTCTTATAACGACTTTTCAGAATAGAGTGTTATATACACACGTACATATACTGTTTTAATGGATATACCTTGGAATTACAAATGAAGTGACAAACAATAGCAATCGTCCTTCAGTCGAACAAGTGAATATGTTATAGTGGGTATTGTAAGCTACCCTAACATCAATTCGTTGCATACTGTTATTTAAATAATATAATATTAAAATAAGACTTTATATGGGAAGTGATCGAAAGTGTAACCGATCCGAACCGTTGTCAGAGTGCGAGTAGTTAGATTTAAACGTCCTTGGTTTCACATGAAAAGTAGTGATTTTAATAATCTCTACTCCAATATTTAAGCATAAGCAATTTCGTAAAAAATTAAGTGGGAGGTTATGCAAACTTCCCTACCGTTTTTTTATTTTTATTTTTCTCTACTGATTCAATTTTAAACAAGAATAAAATAAGGCTGGATGTTAAAAAAGATTCCAACTTCATTTACTTTTTTTTTTTTTTTATTTTTTTTTGCTCAATCATAATTTCTTGTTTGCATATTGAGCTTTTCATACGTAAATATATGAAGTTGTGTGCGTAGATACTTGTCTTTATGTTATATCCATCACAGGGGGTATAATGAATTTGCCAAACGTTTTTAATGCGTAGACGTATGGATTGCATAGCGGCGTTACATTATCTATATATATATATGCGGGATTCTTGATCAGCATGATTAACGATTTAATCGATATAAAAATTTAAATCGGTTTATCTCGTTCGTCGCATTGAAATCGTAATTATGATCTCAACGTTTTGTGGAATGAATGAATTTTGCCGAATGAATTACCTAATTACTTTTTCATAAATGATAGCATTTTAATTTTAAGTCAAACCTATAAGATCGATCTGGAAATCTTTCTTTAATGAAATCTTCTTCAATGAGGAAGAATTAATTGCGTAAGTAATTAAATCGCATCAAGTTCATAATAACTAAAATAAAATGTATATTGTTTACATATATGCATAGTTAATGGCAAATGCTCTATCAAACTATATTGAAAAACGAGTAACCACATTATAGTTGGCGAACTCCGACCATTAGATACCCTTCACGACTTTGCCTAATACATTTATTCTTTCGTTTCGGTAACGTGACACAAAAAGTTACATATTATTTTCACGTAAAGGTATATTTTTTATGAAAGCACGTATGTTACAGTAACCTTTATACGCATTGGTATCCAAAAAAATAGACCTACATGGTTTAAATTCGTTAAGGTTGATTTCTATTGTCAACCAACTCGCATGAACTAATTTTCATCATGAAATACTGAAAGTTATACTTTTTTTCCTACAGATAGATTCAGTTTTCGTAGGAACAATTATACGAGAGAGAGAGTTCAAAAAATTGCCCCAGGCGCAATAGAAATTCTTTTCTCTTTTGCAAAACCAATTTATAATGCCGAACTACTATTACAGAGCGAATTTTGTCGAAAAATTTTGAAGGAGTTCAAGTTATATGGGGAGTGAGCGAAAAAAGCCCTTGTCAATAGCGCTCATTCAAAACACGTCAGAGCATTAAATTTCATCGAAATATTTGAAAAATTCCGACCCGCTGCTTGAACACAACCACAAACAGACCGATAGACAGACAAACTTATCATTTTCTGAATCCATGGATAAAATGAAAGGTGGGTCTACCTTCAGCCTTTTTGCGTGCTACACACGTTCACACAAATTTAATATACCCTGTACCACAAGTGCTGCATACGTTGATACGTTACATACATATTATAAGACGACGATCTCTATGGCGTATTCAAAATCGATAGTCAGTTTGTCTTGCAATCAAATCTCATACATCAGCTTAGCGTGGATATGAGAAGCTACGCCATAACTTGTATATTATTATTATTATTATTATTATTATTATTATTATTATTTTTTTTTTTTTTGGTTTTTGTTTATCCTACATGTGAAGTTTACGTTGAGTACTTATTTACATCTGCTTTAGTTTCTCGTAGGCGAAAACTTTTGCTGTAAAATATAAAGTAATATCGCAAGTATGCATACGTTTAGTTAATAAATATAAAAATTAATAAAATTTGTTGTTGAAATTTAACAAATTTTGCTTAAGAAAAAATATTATGCTTGTAAAATTGAATTGCATTCAATTTGAGTGAAAGAGTAGTTGTATGTATAACTAACATAGATATGTTTTTAGTTGATGTCGTAAACTATGAAATCTAATACATAACATCTTTCCCTAGGATACTTAGTGAGGGAAGGAGGTTTCTTTTTCATTCGTTCGTTACCGGTGCATACAGCTAAAGCGTATACATCATTGTTTACATTTAACATTTGTTTCAAATCGTACACTGCCCACCCTTAGCTACTAATGTTTACCCTTTAAATGGTTTAAGCATTCGAGGCAATTACAATTTCTTGGCTTCACTTTAATAACAAGTCAAACTTTTACATTTTACTTGAAAATTTTATATGATTGCAAATGTATGAAGGCTTTAAAGCCTTAACCAATTTATTTATGATATTTATTGATATATTATATTATATTATATTATCGATTATCATTGCCTAATATTGTTGTCTCGGAAAGATCGAGCACGAATCTGTGCAGTGCCACAATTAAGCAAAAAATCTTTTCATTCGTTTCCGATTATTTCAGATTACCTAAGCAATTCATCTTGACTTGGCCACAAAATAATTTTTATGTTTATGTAATCATGCTTGACCGATCGACATTTCGCAAAATATTGAACGTAAAAGACAGTTTTATCGCGATTGTGCAATGCGAGTGAATTTCATAATAAATAGAAAACGCCTTTTAGGCGCAGGTAGAGAGACGTGAAATATGCATATAGGCCACTATTCAAGGAACTATTTGCTATTAAGTAAAACTTATCGTTAAGCATAAGATATAAATAGAGGAAAAATCTTTCATCAGTTGTGATCAATTATCAATTTTTCTTTAACACGATTTAAATGTTAACTCATCGAAAAACTAAGCTTAGATGATCAGTGGAACGTAATTTTTTCCTTTTCGCTCAACTTTTAAATATCATACCCATCATCGAACGCGGGCTTAGAAATGTTGGAAAAATTTAGAAGAAAGCCTCAGACACCCTATAAATCATAGATATACTTCTGATTAATATAGAATTTTGAATAGACTTAAGTCTGCAGATATTTTCATTTGTTTGTCTGTCTGTCTTTCCGGCTATGTGATGTCGGTGGTGAACATTGTCTTGGTTATACAAAAAAAAAAAAAAAAAAAGAAAAAGATTCTTTCTTATTACGTATTAAAATTTTTCCACTACATCTTATGAGCCACGCCCACCCTGTATTACAGAGTATCGAAATTTCCTTTTCTTCGGAGATTTTCGGTTTATTTCTTTTCAGTGAAAGATGGAAGATTCAGCGATAATCGAATATAGTTTTCTTACTCGTGATATTCATATTCTTAACGTTATAAAAATGAAATTTTCATAAATATAACTAATTACCCAAAAATGTTGAACAAATGTATTCTGAAATTTGATTTCCGGATCGGCTGGATTCACTAAAGTGCGATAGCTCTTTGTTAAGCATGCGTTTGAACTGAAAAAAATAAAATGAAAGTTTAATCTTATTATTATTATTATTATTATTATTATTATTATTATTATTATTATAATTGTTATTAATTTAGCCAGAGAATAATTTGCAAGACTAAAATCTTATAGCACTAGCACACATCATCTAAGCCTATCGACTTTATATTAAAAATTCTACGCGCATTTGAGATTCGAAGCCACGATCCCTTGAATTGTTTACTCGGCCATTCAGGCGAACAAAAACTTATTATTATTTATTAAATTGTGTTTGGTTTAATTTGCCGGATTTTATCTCTACATTTGTGATTAGAAGATATAACGGCACAATTCTCGGATACGCGGATTTAGTTAAATTTTTAAATTTTTGTTCATTTTAAAGGCTCGACATATACAAAATAAAATTTATTTAGTGTAAATTAATGCTTTGTGTCTATGTGTATTGCGCTATTTGTATTAAGGTGTTCGGCAAGGCGTCAATAGAGAATTTATTGTAGATTTTTTCACACACAAGTTCATACTTTTGCCGCATTGGCATCATTTATTTTGACAATCGATAATGCAGGACTTGTTGGCGAAAAACTTGCTTTAATTAATTAATCAAATACGAATTGTTGACAGCGCACATTTTCGACATATTTCAATCGAAAAGCTTAAAGGCTGGCCCAAGTAAGAAAAAAAGTTACTGGTTGTGCACGAAGACGATGTGTTAACAGGTGTGGAAATACGTTCGGAAAATTCGATGAAAACAATATAATGGCATCAATTGATACGAAGCGCCGTTAGATTAAATTTATCGAATCCGATCGTTCATGATCGCCATGATCACGTGAAAGCCAATCGCCTTTCATTTGCACCAAAAAAGAAAAAAGAAAAAAAAAAAAACAAAAACAGAAGAAAAAAACGAAATGACTTTTCCAATGAACAATTCTTGCATGGATATCCTTTCCTTTCAATGAGTCCCAACCAGAGTTATATAGATCTGTGGTGTTGCCGGTTATTCAGCTTTCTATCACAATTTAGCCGCGATAGCTGCGAAAAATTCATTAAAAATTCGTTGGATTTAGGATAGCGAGCAAATGTGTTAAAATTTGACGATAACTTTAAAATATGGTACAAGTGTTTGAAAATTTCATTACAATGTTGTGTTGTGCATGGGTGGCCAACAAATGTTCCTAGAACAGGCTAGAATATAAACTTTAAGATCTATTTCAAAAGTTCGTATACAGTACGCCGCGAAGGTGATTGTGGGGCTCGCTCGTAGATGCCATCAACTCGTCCCAAGTAAGATATAACATTTTTCTTATCATTCCCGGACCATTGCGCTGCCAGCATATAAGCACAATTGTCAAATACAATTTATCCATAAATTCACAGTCATAGTTATCGAATTTGTCTGACTCGAAGACCCATAGTTCGCTCAAGGTTGCCTTGTGCTCGCAAAATTCGCAAGAAAGCTTTCGTACGTGTCAGCCCTTTTTTTTGTACAAAATTACAAATCAGTCAAACTGAGGCCTTAGAAATTAAGAAATGAAAAGGCACGGCTGTAAGCAAGCGAAGTTAGCATATGATGTCTTATCATTTCTTGCTTAGAAATAGCTGGAAACCGTTATATATATATACTTTGGATTTTGACTAAATCGATTAGTTAGATTCGTCTAGAAATACTTTCGTCCATAAAAATTGGAAAATACTCAAACATCTTAAAGAAAAAAATCAAAAATTAATATTGATTGGGTATTTGCTTGCATGCATTTTGATCATTGTTTTTTTTTTTTTTTTTTCATTTGAAAAGGGCATTTATATTGAGAAATTATTGATACAACTTTTATAACGTTTCTCCATATTTCGGGCAATATAGCGATACTATTGGTGATTAGATATCGCTGATCAAAATACATGCAACATCGATTATGTGATAAATTTTTTAAAGGACACTGCACGAAAATGACTATCACTGGCCAGTTAACAAATATGTGTTGCTTGTGAGCATTAACTCATACATACATCCCATAGCGTATACAAACAAGTTTTCTAAATGTGTGAATGTATGTTTTTTGTTTTCTTTCTTCTTTTAATCATAAAATTTATGTAATAATTAATTTATTATTCATTGTTTAAATATTTTATTTTAAATAATATTTTTTTACTTGCCTTGAGTGAAGCCATATCCGAGACGCTACGATGCGTTTGTATCGTTTCTAATTGATCCAAACACCAATCTAGTTCTTCGATGGTATCGGTGGCCAAACGTGTATATGCTTCATCGCCTTGATTTAATTGCATACCCGCGGTAGAGGAGCGTCCCAATGATGTTTGTGTTGGTCGCCTAGATCTTAGATGATTAATACAGTGTTCCATAAAAATTGGGGTTGATGGGGATCGTGGGGATCGTGGGGGGGGGGGGGAGGTGATTCGATAGTCGGGATTAGAGAGTCGGGCGAACAAACGCAGACAATAAATATATAACAAACACAACCAACAAGCAAACAAATATACACAAACATGACGTGATTGAACAACGATTTGTGTACATTATTATACGGAATTTAAGTGCAGGTATATGAAACGAAAGCAAGCAGGATATGAAATTAAAAATGATAATAATGACAAAAAAGAAAGAGAAATAAAATTGCGTTATTAAAACCACGTTAATTTATGAATAAAGAAAAATTAAAATTTAATGGAGTTTTTCATTAATTTATATAATATATGAGAATAGGGAGAGAGGAAGAGAGAAAGAACCATGGATAAAAAGAAGGAAGGACAGAAAGAAAGAAAGGGAGAGAAAGAGAGCGAGAGATTATAGATAGAGAAAGGACGAATAAATGGGATTGACAGAGAGAGAGAGAGAGAGAGAGAGAGAGATAGAGTATAAGAGAGAGGGAGAAAAAAGAGATAAGGGAAAGAAATATTTAATACGTATGTTCTTATCTCAAACATTTTAAAACAAAATCATAAACGTTTATACAGCAGAGCGTTCATATATATACTATTAGTACAAGTTATCCATATTAGGCAGTCTAAAAAATGCCGAATCTTCGGGAAAAGCAAAAAATTCACGAATTCAAATCGTATTTATTTTAATCCTTTGCACTCGAGCGCTCCTGAGCGGAGTCATTTAAAATTGGTCTGCCCAACTCGTGGGCTCCGCTACTGAGACATTGTAAATAATTTGCAGTCTTTAACATAAAAACAAAAACAAATCGTAAAAACTAGTATTCGGGTGTTTCGCTGTTGGTGACAAATGACGGTCACGGCTCGCGGATTGTAATACGAATGAAAGCAAATTTCGTGTGCAAAGAGTTAATATTCAGCGATGTTACGAAGTAATTAATGCTCTCTTTATTATAAATATCCTAATTATTATTTTAGACTACCTAATGTATTAATTTTTAATTAATTAATAACGCTAATGACGCGTCATAGTTGAAAAAATGTAAAATTGAATTTGAAATTTAAATCATTTTTTTTTATTTTTTTTTTATATTTATCCATCATCATCATCATCATCATCAGTATAGTGAAAAGATAAATCAACTGAATTTTCAATTGTCTTCTAAAAGCCCAGTGATACGATCTCGTCTAATCAAACCAACAACGTTAGAAAACCTCATATAGGGATGTCGTCGCGAGTGACCGTAAGATTTAAACAATCTTAAGCATATATAAATATGATGTTTCTCAGCCGTCGAAGAGTTAGTTACCTATGCATCGTAGAATTTTTCGGCAATTTTTTCAACCAAAAATCGAAAAGAATTGATCGAAATAAATGCTTTAACAATTTCTGATTTCGCTTGAAAGAACCAATTGGATAAGTTGGAGCGAGCATCGGACGATCTGAGACGAATCAAAATCAAAATTTAAAGAAAAGACGAACGCGTCTTAGTGCCAAATTGTAGAGAATTTTGTAATTGTCTGCTGTCAGAGAAAGAAGATATTATATCCATAATATGTATATATATATATATATACATATAGGTGCATATATATTGATTATCAAGCGAAAGAAAAAAAAAAAAGAAGAAAAATTAAATTTCTTGGCCAACCCCGCCTATGTATAATGATTTCATTCCATGTTTTTCACCGAGAAAACTTGCATACATTCTTCTCAATGATCCGAAGACACTGTTAACTTTAGACCGAAACTCTTTTAAGATAGAGAGAGAAAGCTTATTGAATAATTAATATTTCGACTTTTCCACGTCGAGGTACTTTGTTTGGACTTTACGCCGTTCGTGTGAAAGTTTATATAAAGTGCATTTTTTGCTGAATGTTTTGAAAGGACTACAAGCATATTGTTTATTACGAGCTTCAACGAACCTAACAAAGCCGTTATTGAAAACCCTTACTGACCTTATAACCTTGTTGTTATGGGAGAGCTTGAATTTAAGAAGATGTTAGATGCTCTGAAATCGAATTCGCAATACGACTGTTGTATCCGTTAGGCGTTCTGACGCTTTCTCTGACTATCATGCATTTCAATACGTAACTTATAAGCTATTTGAGCAGTGTTTGCTGTGTTCTTATGACGATAGAACGAAAAGAACTCTGCCGCTCAAAAGATGGAAATGGATAGAAGCTAGTGACCGATAATCCTTTGAATAGAAAATATTTTTTTATGAATCAAATACAGCAAAACGCCCTCTATAGCATGGTAACACATTTCTTGTTACATAAACCCATGTCGCACGTCTTTACAAAACGAAGCAAAGGTGCAGTTGATTAAACAAGTTGCTTAACAACGTTTGGCTTGGTTGGTATCCGGTAGTGATTGTCTCAAGAGATCACGAAGTAATGAATTCCTCTTAAGCAAAACATCGTGGATGTGATCAATTAATCAAAGTAACTAATTATTGCAATAGATACTCTTCGATGATATGATTAGTGAATGGAAATCATTGGGTGCTGTTTTCCATTTATTGATGGTTTGAAAGCATTTGGAACAGGGAGGCAGGAATAAAGAAACTTTTCTTACATTTAAGCTTAAGACACTGTATGAGAAGAGTTTTCATAATCGTTGTGCGTAACAAATTCCTCGGAGAGAGAGAGAGAGAGAGAGAGAGAGAGAGAGAGAGAGAGAGAGAGAGGGAGAGAGAGAGGGAGAGAAAGAGAATGAGCGGGTAGGAGAAATGTATAGAAATTTCTAGTAGTAGTAGTAGTAGTAGTAGTAGATAATTTCTGTCTCATTCTTTGACCATCTTATATGGATCTCTCATAGTGTATTACATAAACACTTTCGTAACTTTTCCTCCGTATTATATGGATTCATTTTATAGGCGCATGTATTAGATAGAGATCGACTGTATATGTTGATGTATTAATGTATTAATATAATGAGGACTTGTTTTCTCTTATTTTCAACATATGCCTAAGATTTAAATTTTTCATCCTTTGCCCTATAAACAGCACATACACACTGCATTAAGACCAAACCAAGTTTTTCAGGTCGAAAGCGATATTAAATGCTTTAGATAGATTTGACTTTTTTTAGGATAGAAAAGCATTTCAACAAATTGGTTGCAAAGCTAACGTGTATCGATCATTGAGAGGGTGTACTGAAAAGCAATTAAAAACGTTTGACGTAGGGCTTAATATATGTTTATGATAGTTTTACTTTTTTATATCGAGTTGTTGGTTATATTTAGAGCAACATAAGCATGCTCCAGTATGAATATATATATATATGTATATATATATATATATATATATATGGCTTTGAAATGAAGAGGTAGGTGACTATCATCAGTTCATAATACAATAGTAACTTTAGCAACAAAAAGTTTATCGATTACTTAAATGAGAGCTTTTTCTCAATTGATTAAGTTTTTCTTTATTCATTGCAAAACCTCTCGGCACTATCGCGGCGCCAAGGTAACGCAATTTAAAAACATTTAATAAATTGCGTTTTTCCCACAAATATTTTGATTTTGCAATTTAAATGATGGATAAACATGACAATCGTCTTAAGCCGAACATTCTTGTTTGCATTTTTTTTTTTTTTTTTTTTTTTTTTTTTTTTTTTGAGTTATTGTATAAAAGATATTGAGGTTAAATGTAATTTTAAAAAATTGCACATAATATCAATTGAAAATATTTTTTTTTTGTAAAAAAGGGTTAACATTATTGTATAACAATTTTATTAGTTTAATTATGGTGAGTGAATGAGAAATTTGGGCTTTTAAGGGGAAATTGAATAAAAAAAAAGATTCTTTCTGTTGTATATAACAAAAGAGGAATTTTTGCACTCACTTATTAGGTGCCGGAACATTTGTCAGACTTATTAAATTATTGCGTACTGAACGTAAACTGGCTAAAATTTGGGCAAATGGTGTCACAATGAGATCCTCGCCATGGCTGTAAAGATAATAAAGAAATTTTATTTAGTTTTATTTTTTAAAAAAAACAAAAAAATTTTTTTTTTTTTTTTTTTCATTATGCTAATTATTTCTACATGTTAAGAATGTACGTACTAATATATAATTATTTCTGTAATTATATATAAAAATCATATTTGCATATGTACATATGTGCATGTGTATAAGTGAATCGATAAAATGCGTGCGCATTTCTACTATAACGAGCAATTAAATGTGTATTTTCTACAAAACACAAAAAATTTACGCTAATTTGTTTAATTAATGATTTATAGAAGAAGACATAAAAAAAAAAAAAAAGAAAAAACAAAAACGATAAGAAATAAAAAATTATTAATTTATTAGACATTCCGAGGAAAGCGCCTTTAAATATTTCTTTCCAATTTTCTATAATTAAATTACATATAATGAACTCAAATTAATGTGCGAATGTGTGTATATTTAATATATCATGACGTAATAAATAGTTCATATATTTTATTTTTGCTTAGTTTTTAATTAAATTTTTGCTAACGAAGTATGTGTAAACATTTAAAGCGAAATCATTTAATAAATTTTAGAGCACAAAGCACAATTGCTTTTCAGAAAATAGGAAATATTTAAAATGGAAATAATTGAAATGAATAGAAAGTCAAAGTGTTAGCCGCTTCAGGCGAAATTTTTAATTGTTTCGCATAAATGCTCATATATTTCGTCTGGCTCACACAAGACAACGTGATTTTAAATAATTTCATATGTTTATAATATATAAATAAAATACATAGTCTTCTTAGCTGCAACTAACTATATGATTCAAGATTCTTCATTTTCCATATTTGTCTTTCTAATCCGATCGTGAAGTTTACATAAATACTTTACTAAAAAAGTCCATATAAAAACTTGTCTCATAACGTTTGACACCTATTATTATTATTATTATTATTATTATATATTTTTTATATGTATTGTGCAAATTGTAAAAATATACTTCGCCCGAAAACCTCTACACGGATTTTTATGAGCCTCAATGTGAGATGTGAATGCTTTTTAGTCAACTCTCTTCTCGACTGCTCGGTTAAAAGAAACGATAGCTCTTATAATGTGTTGTGAGGAGCTATCCTATGATTAGGGGTAAGCTCGCCGGGTAACAGACACCTTCGACAAAATAATTTATAATATACATGATCGAATAACCAAAACATTTATTCGGATATCGATTCTATAATTTTTTGTGCTTTGTTTAATTTAGTTTGATCAGAAATTATAGTCAAAGACTCACTAACGGCTTATTATGTTGAGCATACAGCAATCATTTTATTTATGAAATTCTTTCAATTACCTCAAGTAATATTTAAGTCTTTAACACGATGAGAGTCGGTTGGCCTTTTACGAATAGACATTTTGAGACAATTATGGAATTATTTCGCGATCAAAGAGTATTTAATTTTTTTGTCAACGAGCCTGCTATGTATTTTCTCTTTTTTCCTAAACTTAACCTACGGCGGCCGCTAAAAACCAAAGAAGATCAAAAGTCAAACTGCATGTCTAGTCAAAAACTCCAGAAAAGTGTAGTGGCTCGGGAAACGATCGGAAGGCACCTTTACGACTTCTATTAGAGTTTGGCGTTTGCCAACTTGGCCTGATCTCAGCTGAAAACAAATGTTTTTAACTGAGATACCCATAGTTCAATGTCAGTCAGCGCCTAATGACTGACCTCTAACCTACTGCTATCTACTGTTACTGCGGCTACAAAATAAACCAAATTCAATTCTAGCACACCCTAACCAAACGAAACATATGTGAGGTGAAAATGGAAATGCGACTTTGACTCCTCCACACTGTGAAAACATTAAAGTTGATGGAAGGTGCGGAAAATGTAAGCCAATGATTCAAAATTTTTCAGATCAATTTGATATGCAAAGATTCTCAATTATTGCAATCGCTACGCTGAATGCACTAATACATCGATCTGCATTAAATAGACAGACGGACAGGTAAACTTGAATTCGTCCAGAAAGTGATTTTGGATCGGTGGGATTTACTCGGTCTGAGTGCTATTTGTATCCATCCAATACACCATAAGTGAAGGAAAATTATTAATGTTTTACCCGTAAGTATGGGATGTTAAGTCGTTTGAAAATATCATAATCGAAATCATAAGTGAACTTTTTTTTTGCAGTTACGGTATTCACGTTTATTATACCTTGCACCAAAAGTGCGTAACACGCAGAAGCGCTTAAGATAGACTCACCTTTTATTATAGGGATCGTTTCAGTATCCGAAACCCGAATTGATCGAAGCCTGTCCGTCCGTCTGTCCGTCATGGATGTCTGTTCATTTAATTATGTTTTCAGGCTACAGGTCGCAATTTTTGAGATATTTTGATGAAATTTGACACATGTGACGTGTTTTGACGCAAGGACGAACGCTGGTTTGGATCAGTTCACTTTTTCAACCACTTCCTATATTTAAATTTTTTTTTTTTTTTTTTTAAATTTGCTATGCGAATAGCTTTACTAAAGGAATTGATATAGGGTATTTTACGATGGACCGTTAACTTTATGAAAAAGTGAAAAATATTTTCTTAACATTTAATTTTTCCTCAAAATCATTTTAGATATTATTTGATTTATTATTATGATTGTGGTTTGTGCGTTGTTGTACTGAAAAGTGGGGAAAGAGAAGAGCGCCGGCGCGCAAAGCGACAATAGGTATTGTGACATTTCTTAAAATGCGAAAATGTATGTTTGTACGCTGGCACGTACATGGTGTGCGTAGCATATATTCTCTTAAAATATTATAGAACTTTAATAATTGAAAAGTATTAATTAGAAAACGTGGAAGAATTGTAAAAAATTCGCTTGTGCAACAAAATATGTTGCATGCGTTAGATGGTAAATTATTACGAAATGGAAATGGAATTTAGCAATTATTATGAATTTCTGACACATTAAATTTCTTGGCCTTTACTAACAAAATATTTCCACTACATATCTACAATGAGTTATCGTAGAAAGTTTTTCTCAACTTGGCGGATGTGTCGTATTTTTTTTTTTTTTTTTTTTTTTGGAATGTGATACTGATATCAAGTGTTAAAAGCAATATTTTAATGGCACTATCATTTGAGCTTATATTACGCTCACAACTGTTGGGCGTAATAACAAAAAAAATCTAATGATGATTGGTCTTGAAATGCCGCGAAAAATGGATTAACTTGAGATTTTGTTATTAAAATTGACTTCAACACAGTATCCTCTTAGGCAAACGACTGTTAAAGCAGTGAAGCATTGTGAGAGCGTGAAATAGGCGTTTTATTGGATGGAAGCATGGGACGATAATATAACAATAATATCCTGAAAGGTTTTGAGATCTGGAAAATATTAAAGAATGGTGACACTGGAGCCAATTTCCCAAGGTACTATCAATTAGCGAAACTAGTTAAAATTTGAATTACAAAAAAAAAAAAAAAAATTATTTAATTGAGATTGTTATATTTGGAAAACGTGAAAAATTTCGATTTTTGCATAATTGTCGCGTACTTGAATGAAAAAGTTCAAATTATTGTTTAAATTAATTTTTCGAAAAAATTCGACATATTTAACTAGAGAAAGATAGTGAAAGAAAACTCTCCTCGACTGCGTTTCCCGTATGAATTGACTTTGGCTTCGGCTTCGGCTTCGGCTTCGGCTATTTTTTTCTCATTTCCATTTCTACATTACGGTTGTACTTTTCTTCTGGACCGATTTCCGCGTTTTACGGGCTTTAGATCCGCAATAGATTACACACTTTATCAGCGAAAACATTCTATATTTTTCAGAAAGACTTTAATATATTTTCCGTCGAAATCTTTCTTTCTACTCCTAATTCACTAGCTTTCAATTCTCCTCACCTCAAATTTTTTATTGTCCTTTCTTTTAGTGCAGAACGTTTCCGATAAAGTTTCTACGTTTTACGTAATATATTTTTCTTATTAACAAAAGTGAAAAATAATTTTGCGTCTCCAAGAGCTGCATAACAAATAATATGCAAGAAAAAATTAAGTAAGAAAATTTTATTCGTCCGCGAATTCTTGAATAAAACGAGAAAATGAAATATCTACACTCGAAAATATTGCGTGAGAGTGGGAATGATTTTCTTCTATTTCTCTAGAATAAAAATGAAAATTTATACCGAGTCCGCGATTACGTTTATCACAGCAATTGACAGATAGATGGACCGACGGACCGACAAAAATATCTACAATTGGTCACGTTTAATAGTACGTTCACGTTCACTGATGCGTTGATTTAAAGAGGAGTCTGAAGCTTCTTTCTGGCTGCTGCAAACATTTTTATATAAGAATGAATGGAAAAAGAAATTTCAATATTCTGTAATAATGAAGGGGCTGGACCGATTTTTTCCCATTTTTATATAAGTGCTACAAGACCATCCATAGAATGCAAATGTAAATTTTTATAATTGCATTTTTTTATTTTCGAAACCAAACGTGGTATCGGATTCTATTGTATTGTAGACGTATCCTTTTACCGATTTGAATCGATTTGACCCGATTTGAATATCGGCTTGACTGCCAAATTTAAGGTTGTTTGATGGATTTTTGCGACCAAGAGAAGGCTTAACACGGAGATTGCATAGGCAAAGAGACAGATAGACAGACACGCTTAAATCGGTTGCTGATCATTTATATAATATATTTACTTTATGGGATCTCTAAATCTCCTTCATGGGTGTTGCATATATTTTGCCAAAACGAATATATCCCTCATCTTTCGATGATGCGTTCTTTTAGTTTAGTTAGTTTTCAAAAATCATATTTCGGCGAAAAACGCATTTAAGCTATGAAGTGCCGGCGTAACATACTACAGTTATCTTTCAATCTCATTCCTGACTATTTAAGGGATCATTAAAGCGATTTTTAAAATGCTCTATCGCATGATGCAATTAAGCGAGATTGATATGTAGTGCAAGCTATACGAGTTAGGTCGATGTAAGAGCTATAGA